AAAGTACTAAATGGCATAATCATATTCTTGTGTTATGGCTAGCCAAAAGGTCAGTGAGAAGTGTAGCATGCTGCTAGGAGAGAGCACATGAATCAAACTCATAAAGACATGATCACATTAATCCAAACCTTCATAAATGTTTGTTCCGTTCAACCATATTATGCAATCCATATGTTTTATTTGCAACAGTGAAAAATTCAAGTGCATATGAACATCACAAAATGATACATTTGCAGCTAGAAACAGGTATCATTTGCATATAAATTGGAAGAACTAAGTAAACTGATAGACGACTTAAATGTTTCAGCTAGAGGATGGACAAACGACTTTTACTCGTACACATTAACGGCATCAGAATACCTTGGATCATATAGTGAGAGTAAATTAATCTAATATTGAGATCATCTATCCTCATCTTTTAATTTGTAAGATTGTGTGTGATAAATAGAACATTGCATCAGGGTATGGCTTATGATCCTTCAATGTTGCAGGTATTCAGACTTTAAAAGCCGACGTTTACGTATTTGGTGGTCTACTTGTGGAGTTGCTTGGCAACCGCCACGAAGAGGAAGACTTGGCACCACACAATTGGGCTCTGGAGCATCTCAAAGCAGGGAAAAGATCGATAGTCAAAAAATCACTTTTGCAAGTAACAATGAACTTGCTTTTAGCATCACAGAAGCACTGCAATGTCTGAGTAAGGATAAAAATGCACACCCGGATATGAAGGATGTCTCTGCCAGATTGTCCAATTTGGTAGAAGCAACTCCTATTTAAGGAAGAATAATAATACTGTAGTATTTACTTAGTTTGTTGAACACTTGAGCTTAGTGTGCATCTTTATTTGCTCAAAACATATACTATATTTTTAGCTAAAAAATATTTTGTTTGTCCAATGCACCAAACAATAAAATAATAAAAAATTAATTTAACATCAGAATTTATATAAAAAAATATTTTCTTTATCCCAAAAATAAGACATACCTAGAGTCAAAGCATACCTCAAAACCATCAATCTTAGTGTAGAAACTTTGTTTTCCCAAAATGTCAAGGCATTCTCTGCCCTAGAGGATAAAAGAAGCACATCCAAACACAATACAAAACAACTATCAGTAGAATCAATGTACTCAAACATATTGTTGCAATAATATATGGGAAATAACTCACCAATAAATATTACTCCTAACACAAACATTGCAAAGAGAAACCAAACAGCTTCTTCATTGAGAGCAAAAGCATATCATTTGTGCAGTGCACAGCAACAGTTTTCTGCTCCAATTTCAGCTTCAAGGCATGGAGGTTTAATTTGGAATTCTCGTCTTTGTACCATTCTAACCGAGATTGAACATAGATTAAAGAGCTAGCAGCCATGTAAAATTAATTCCTCTCAATTCTTGAATAATTGATGAATATGATTTTTGGAAACATACCTCGTTTTGAGGCTTCAAAAATTTTAGATCCGAAATACCTTTTTTCACAAAATTGGAGGCTTTCCTGCATTGATAGAGTAGCTATACAATTCCTTTCCTTCGGCGGCGAGGAGATCACACGGATTATATTTTTGGAGAAAAATCAGCGACCATGGGTAGGTTAGGTTTCCGCGTGGAGAGTAGAAGAAGACAGCATATTGGTATTAATCAACCCTAATTTCGGGTAAAAATTAGGGGAAATTGGGGTAGCCGAAGAAGAAGAATGGAAAGGCGTATCGCAGTACCTGAGATTTCTTTCCTTCCGTGACCCAACGCAGCCAGGAATCAGGGCTGAATTATATTCGTTTCCTTTCAGCGTGAAGATTTGCAGGAAATTTCCTTCCTTCCGCGCGAAGAACTTGGGCGAGAGAAAGAACGTAACTGGAAGGAGAGCTTCGCTTATAATTGGACGCGTGTCATCTGATGGGTCATCAAATTAGCAGTCTTAATTTTCCACGTGTCAAAATTCTAGACTATCAACTCTCAAATATTATATTAAAGGATTTATAGATACTCCGTAGATGTAACACCATAGGTTGGGCTTTTAAACCCAATTCTAGTGAAATTAGGAATAGAGGCAAATGAAATTAATACCCTCATGTATTTACACCAATTATCTTCTAACTCTATATTTTGAATGATTGCAAAAAAAAATTCAAAAAATCTTTTTTAAAGAGGATAAAATTTGAAGTCAAAGTCAAAAATTAAAAATGGGGAAAAGTCAAATTGGGAAGAAAGAATTAGGACGGAGGGAGTATTAATTATAATATAATATTATATTATAAAATTCTTTATATTTATTTATTGAACTATAACGTCTATTTTACTCATCACGCTTTACACGTAAGTCCAAACTTAGCAAATTTTGTATTGTTGGTCATCATTTTACGAGACCTATCCGAAAACCCAATTTTTACTTAAAACGGACAACTCTACAAATAATTTATATTTTTGAGTAAATAAATTTAATATTTATTTTTATTAAAAATCACGGCTAACTACTAAGCCGGTTTTCGGGTCGTTACAACAAATGTCCAGATTCTGGTGGAAAAACATGCACCATTGGGTTAATTGGGAGAACATCTGTACACCAAAAGAAGGTGGTTTGGGGATCAGAGATATTAGCTCCTTACAAGACTCTTTCACTTTAAAACTCCGGTGGAATTACCACATCAACACTAGCCTTTGGGCTAAATTTATGCACGCAAAATATGAACGAGATGGTGAAATGGAAGCCCATATTATTGACTCCCCCATCTGGAAGTGTATTGTTGAAATTGATGAGATTGGTGTGGCGAACACTACTGAAAATGAGGAGGGAATCTTGAATTGGGAACCAACCTCTGATAAACTCTTTAGTTTATCTAATGCTTATGACATTTGTAGAGTCTCTCGTCCTACATGTACAGGGGCGGATCCAGCAAGGAGAGTATGGGGGCAGTTGCCCCCAGTGAATTTTATATATATATATATATATATATATATATATATATTTAATGTTTTTATTTAATTGCCCCCAATTAAAAAACTAACCTGCCCCCAGCTAGGTTGGCCCAAAACAATTAATAGCTTAAGACCCAATCCAAAAAGTAGCCCAATTACTAAAAAGTAGCTTAATACAATTTCCCCTCCCCAATCCCTTTTTTCCGTATCGAGAAGAGGAACCGAGAAGAGCAACCTGGAAGCCAGAAGATTTCGCCTCTGCGCCGCATCGCCGTCGATCGTCCGCTGCGTGACTGCGTCGCCGCCGAGCAGAACAGAACACTCGAACACGGAGCACCAGCCACCAGGTATTTCCAACTAATTTTGTTTCCGTTTTAAATTATGAACTAAATAATTAGATAAATGTGAAAATTAGATTTATGTGTAATGTTTGATTGGTGTGAAACCTTTTGAGTAATTTGTTTTTATATTTCAATTTTCTATTTGATGAAATTGTTTATTATGTTGAATTGTTGGTTATTATTAATTATAATTTATAATTGTCCCATACATATGAATAATGAATTGATGACTCTAGTATATTAATTCTAAATTGATATATTTAAATAATTTTCTCTAATTTTTGGACATAGATTTAGTAAAAAAGTATATTTCATTTTATGTTTTTAGATAATGGAGAAGTTTTTTAAACGGAAGTCCCCCTCAACACCGACAACA